CGGGTGCTCCATGACACGCAGCTGGACCCATTGCCATCCTACCCGCTCGACTTCGCCATGGAGGCAGGTTACTGTCACCGGCGGGACCTCTCTTCCCACTTGTCGCCGGATTAATTCCGCCCTTATCATGGACTGTGCACATCCGGAGTCAAGAGTGGCCTCCACTGGGCGCCCGTCTACCCAGGCCTTAACCACCGGGCGGGTCCAAGTTGCGTTACCTTCACAGCTGGCATAGCTGCAATCCATGGGTTCCCCCGTCTCCTGGCCGCGGCGCCGGTCAGGGAAGCTCCGGGGTCTGTCAGCCGGAACCCACCGCTCAGCGGGTTGACTGGGGCATTCCCGTGAGATGTGTCCATTTTGCCCGCAACGGAAACACACCACCTCCCTACCAGGCCCTTGAGAGGGAGGGCGCTGCCGTTTGGCTTCCTTCGACACCGCCGGCATTGGCCCTGGGCTTCTCCTTTCCCTTGGATAGCTTGCTTCTGCGGCTGCGAACGCCTCTGCCAGTTTTAAGGCCTCTTCGCAATTCTGTGGAGAATGTTGCCGGACCCTACGGTGTCTGCGTATTAGCTAGAAAGCCACATGCTGGCTATGGTCTGTGCTGAATGAACAGGTAGAATCAACAGGTAGCTGGTAATGTCCTTCTGTTGTTTTCTTAATGAGAAGGTAAACACTGAGTGAGGGGTGATAAACCATCATCAATTCCCTGCTGGGCTAATCAGAGCATCCTACTGGCCACACCCCCCCCCCCATCAGTGCTGTGGAAGGAAGGGAGGGCTGCTCTAGCGCTCCCTGGCTTCTAGCCTGAGCCACTGCAGGCATGTGTCTGCATTTTTGGGATGTCTGTCCAGTTACAAAACTGATTTAGCCTAGCCAGGTTAGACTAACCTGCAAAGATTGAATCAATTCAGGCTCAGGCTTTTTGAATGTCTATCCCTAGGCTAAAAGGGCTAGGCTTTTCAAAAACATTTAGCAGTAGCTGAGTTTTGGCGAGTGCCCTTTGGAGTCTTACCATTGACTTAAGTGGGAACAAAGGCCAATGCTAATAAGCACTTGTGAAAATTTCACTTGAAATGTATATATAATATTGGTCTTTTGTTCCTTCATGTCCTGAATTGCCTTGTTTTTACCTTTCTAAAAGGTATATCATCCCTTTTGAAGGTTTATCTTACTTTTTGTATTCATTTGATATAGAAATGTATGTCACTGTGTCTGGTTGTATAGATGCATATCTGTTCCTTACAACTATTGCGGTATAATTTAAAATGTGCTGAATTCAAACTGTGAGAGTTATTGAAAAACAAACGCCCTCTAGTTTGGCTTCTTAAGATTTGGAAGGCTAGTCCTATATCTGGTTATTTGCAAACCTCTATTGAAATATGGCTGTCTTGCTTTGTAGAGAGAATTTGTTTTGACTTTAATCTGTGTGCAGTAGCTGAGACTAGCTCTCTCTTCTTATATTTTTTCTTTTCACATGTATCTCTGCATCACTTCATGTTTTTCTAGCTATGTTTCTAATTTGTGTAGTATTAGTAATTTTATTTAGAAATATGATTTTTAAATGCCTCATTTAGGATTGTTTGTTATTGTCCAGCTTATTTTACCTGATCGGAATCTTGCCTTATCTTTATTCTTTTTCCAAAGAAACTAATTGTGCAAGATATTTTATTTTGGAAAGAAAAATATTGATGTGTAGTATTCTCCCTAGTTCTTCACTTTACTTCTCTTGAGAACTGATGTAGCTGGTTAAATATCTACCTTGTCCTTCACAGGGAATGCACTCCAATGGATTTTTATAGTATTTATGAGGTTTCAAAGAGCAGTTTTATGGTAAATAGCTGGCTTCTTTTTAGAATTTGTGTCATCTTTATTTTTCTACTTGTTATAGGTTGCTCAATGCTGTAGGCTATATGTTCATGTGATACAAGCAAGAGTTTTTCATAAAACAGTGATTCATTAGGTTCTCTTTTCTCTATACTCAGCATTGCGGTCCCCTGGTTGCTGCTAAGTGTGTACTCTACAGTAGATTCTTTCTGACTTGCAGACTATATATTCAACACAAAATTGGCAGTCTTTCCACACCCCTTAGCAAAAATTTAAAAAGCAGGATGCTTTAGAAATGTTACCTTATTAAGATTTCATTATATATTTTTACTTTATGCACCACAGTATAGAAAATCCCTACATGTGATCCACAGAACACCTTTGGGGTCTGCAGAGCTGAGTGGTTACATGGTACTGGCTTTCCTTGTATCCATATGAGAGAAACAGGAAAGACCTGAAGGGGAGAAACAATGAGCATCAGAAGTCCAATATAATTAACTATTTTGAAAAGGGCAAGTTATTTATAGCATTAAAAAAACTGATATGAAAAAGTAGTACTTATATATTAATTGATGTAGTTGGAAAAAAAAGGTAAATCAGGTTCTCTCTCTCTCTCTCTCTCTCTAGTGTGACCCATATGATTAAAAATGCCAAGAACCCTTGACACGGATTTTTCTTCTATGAACTACCATTAAAATAAGCTACAGTGATCAAAATGAAGGCCAGGAGTACAGAATACTTCGTGATACGTTGTCTTTCCTTTCTGCAATTGTATTTGTTCACTTAAAAATTAATCACATTCAATATTTTGATACAGAGTTTCAAAATCAGTTTTGAAAATTAGCAAGTTTCTTCTGTAACTGGAAAAGGCTACCAGTTCTGGCTATTTTCTTTAGGTTGCACTTGGAACTGAGGCTGAACCCAGCTTACAAATATAAGACAAGCTCTTAATGCTACAGAAAAAAGAACAGGCAATGTAATATTTTAAAAAAGTGATACAATAATATAGTCTGTTGAGAAACAAGATTATTTAAATTACTCAGGCAGAAGCATAACAGTCTTAAAATACATAGTGTGAATCTGCAGGGGTATAACAGGAAAGGTGTGAGACCACAGAGCAGCCAAATGTTGATTCTCTAAATGAGCTATCGTGATTTCTACAAGTTGGATTATGAAACTGACAACTTCATGGTAACTGACATAAAAAGAAAAAAAACAAAAGCTGGCAAAACCTGCAGCTGACCTGGCTTGCAAAATTGAAAGCACATTTGTTTAAAAATATTGTTCTGGGATATTCTTTCAGAATGTGATGATTATTTAGTACTGACACATTGTTCTGGATTTGGGGGGAGGTTGCCCTTTTGATACAATAATAACTTTCTTTTCTGCCCATTTTTTCCACATTCCCAAATTTTAATTACTTTATCTCTTGGACTGCTCTATTGATAGATGACCCATATAGTTTTTCCTTGATCCTCTGTTGTGGCATTAGAACATACATGTAAAATATTCCCTTTTTATTACATGGATATATTGACTCCAGCATTTTATGGATACAGATCACATAATACAATGCCTCAGGTTATTTTTCTTGCTACTGAAGGATAGAATCATGTGATACTAATTAAATGTCAATTGCTTATTTCCACTTCATATCTTCTACCATCTCTAATGCCCTGAAATACAGCCTTGGCAACATCATTTTTCAAACTCTTTTGGATCAGTTCTTTTCCCTTCCTTAATACCACTGAAATAGTAATTGCTTGAACTGGAGAGCTTTGCAGTAAGAATCTTAGTCAGAGATTTGTCACATTGATAAATTAAAGTCTTTGCATGAGGGCATACTTCTAAAATGCGAATCTTTGCGTTCTAACACGTTGTAATGTTTTAACGTGTAGCTACATAAAAAAATTCAACACTTTTTTCCCCCAGAAACTTACTTGATTTAAACTTTCTACAAATTATTTACATAAAGATGGGCAAGATATGGTCCACTACTTAATAAAATTATTGAATTTGCATGTATTTAATTTTATGAAAAAAAAGTTTTGTAGGTTTAGGGTAACAGTGTGTAATGACTTGCCCTTGAACAATTTATGCCACTATTTTTGTCACTGCTGAATTAGAAAAGGTAGCATCAGTGGGGTATCTCATGAAGGGATAGATTGCACAAGTGAGTACTAAACACGTGTGTGAAGAAGAATGATACTCCATGGAGACAGACTGAAGCTTTTAGCATAGCTTTGCTTATGCTTATCACTTTATTATGGAGTCCTTTATTGTTAATGGAATTATGGTGCAATTCTGACCATTACAAATGGAATTGCAGCTGCTATACTGTTTAATCAGTATGCTTTTCAAACTAGATAAAACAAAACAAACAAAACTACTTGATCTACTCAAGTATATATTTAAGTATTCTGCCCAGAAATGTCTTAGCTATCTAAACTTTGCCCTGATTAATCATATATGTAATATTGAGGGGTGTGGTTTAATCAGTTAAGACTTTCTTTTTCAGTAGAGTTTGCCTTACTGGCTAGGGGAAGAGGAAGATTGTGGGATTGTTTTGCTTGTTTGTTTTGGATGGTTTAATAAATGAAAAATTAATTTCTGCTTCTCTAATAAAAGTAGAGAGAAAATGGATCACAATGTATGCCTTGTATTCCCTGCCTTCCTAGCATTTCTAAAATGAATGCAAAACTTCAGGTAAAAAATTAAAAAAACCTTCTGTGAAATCATAACATGACTTTATGTGCGCACTGTTTTCTTCTTGAGGAGAGGATGAGAGAGAGAGACCGTATATGGGAGATATTCATCACATTACTTAATATATTACTGGGAAGCATTCAGATGCAATGAAACCTCTATAAAAGCCTATAATATATAGCATGCAATAGAATTTTTGGTCAAAATTTTAAATTTGTTAAGGCAAATGTGTAGGAAACCCTCAGAGCTAACCCCGTGTTTTGTTTTGTTTTTTATTTCAGAGACGTATTATTATATATCTCCTTTAGTTGGTGCCTTTTTCTTGGCTCTGACTCCTATGGGGATTGTAATAGCTGCCAAACATCCAGCTACAAGAACTGTTCTCCATTCAGGATGGGAGCCTGTTATAACTGCTATGATCATAAGCAGGTATGTAGCTTTTTCTTATGGTGTGCTTGTAGTCCCTTGGACTCCCTGTATCCGCAGTTATCTTTTTTGCCTTAATACCTAAAAACATCATTAAGACAAAGTCAGGATTGCTCAGGGATTTCCTCTGCTCTTCCAAAATATAGAGCGTGGCTAAATCTAAAATTTTGAAAGCCAGAAAATGATGAAGTTAAGGCAGGGGTGGGCAAAATGCGGCCTGGGGGCCGGATGCAGCCCACGAGGCCATTCTGTGTGGCCCATGAGGCCCTTAAAAAAATTATAAAATTAATATTTATCTGCCCTGGGCTGCCTGTCAAGCAGCCCATGATGGCTTGCCAAAACTCAGTAAGCGGCCCTCTGCCCAAAATAATTGCCCGCCCCTGAGTTAAGGTATAGGTTGCCGTCTCAATGCAACCTTAGCTGTACTTCCTGCAGCTGGCAATATATGAGAATGAGGCTAGTGGAAAAACAAGTAGCTTTATTGGGCGTGTCCACACAGTCAAGCACATGCGCTTGCAGCAGCTCAAATAGAAGCAGTTCAAATTTGAGCTAGGGCTTTTTGCCTCAGCACACGTGCTCGGACATGCGCTTTGTTGTGGAGCAAATTGTGCCACTTGGGGCAAAATAACCCTGCCTGACTCTTTCCGGATCTGCAGCCAGGGGGAGCTAGAGCCCGGGGCCAGCACCTGTGTTGTCCCCAGCAGTATAAAAAGCTGACCTGTCCTGGCACCAGCAGTACAAAAAGCAGCCCTGGCAAGTAGCTCAGGGCTACTCACTCTCAGGAGCTTCTGGGGTCCAGCCAACTGGTACCTGGGGACGCTACCCCTTGTGCGAACTAGACTGCTGAAGCAGCCCTGAGAGTTCTCTGCACCCTTTACCCACTGCAGCCGTCTGGCAATGGGGGCTGCTGCCTGGCTGTGACCTGCTGTCCACCTGCCAGACCTGGATCGGAACTGTACAGCCAGTAGAGGCATCTGCTCCTCTGGGCCAGCTTCCAGTCG